TTTAGAACAAGCGCGAAACGGATATTAAACTTGGCAGACACCGCCGGTAAACTATTGCTGCTCCCCAGTCCACTTGATTTTTTTGCTTGAAGTTGTGAATTGTGAAAAAATAGCACTATAGTGCCATTAACACAGTGGCAATCGTTACAGGCCGCAGGTGCTTGTGTTTAATAAATGTGCAATTTTTAGTAGCAGGTATAGATCTTGTCTATGTTGTGTACACAACAAACATAAATCAAGTTGAACCGTAAGTTTGTATGCCAACTAAGTATTTAACACACAACCAACGTCATGTTGGTATGGCGCAGTGGTTATATAGTGTCTTCGAATGGTCATCAGCAGGTTGCAAGTTCGATCCTCCGTGGCGCCTTGTTTTTTTTTACGGCATGGGTGTTTTTTATACCGTTTTTTATAGAATTCTTTTTTATTTTTTGTGGCAGCTCGCCACGGTGATTCTGACGTCATTTTGCGCTCAAGCGTTGCCGGCACTACAGCACCCACCATACCCACCATACGCCATGGAGGGCGTTTTCCACCATTCACCCACTACATTAATCCACTATAATGGTGGGCGGTGGTTTACATCATGCCCACCATTCTTTTTTTTCCGATAGGGTACAGTATGCTCCAACGATGGCGAGCAACGGCCCTAGATCGCGCCGCGGCCGCGCTAATTCGAATCTTCTTACAATCCTACAGTGGAATTGGTGGGAATTTAAGGCACGCACTAAGCGGGGTTCCTTGCGGCTCCATTTAGAAACCTATCCACATTTGCTTGCGGTAGTGGCCCTTCAGAAGCCGGGCGAGCACACTGCCCTCACAAATTGTACCATGTATCAAAAGGGATGCGTAAACCACACTCTGCGTGCATCAAAAGTACACCGCCAACCAGGTAGATCTCGACTGCGATCGACTTTACTCGTATGTTATGGTGACTATCCTCCCGCTTAGGAAGCAGAACGCGTCCCTTCGCATCTTAAACATCTACAGTTCGCCCAAATTCCATAACGTAACCTATAATGCTGTTTTTAGCAAAGCCCTAGTGGCAGGCAGGGAGCCACTAGTCATTGTAGGTGACTTTAACGCCCCTAGTCCTCACTGGGGTTGCCATAAAGAAGAACGGCGTGGTAGAAAGTTGGCAGAGTTTATTTTTACCCTGGGCCTCACCATCCAAGCCAACCCTGCCCACCCAACCCGCATTGGTAACTCTGTAAGTCGAGACACATGCCCTGACCTTACACTTACCAAACATATCAGGCATGTAGACTGGCTCAACACTGAGAAAACTCTCGGCAGTTACCACTGTACTCTCCTCACTACCATTCAGAGGTATCCCCTTACCCGTCCCCACCAACACGCGAAACTTCCGGACAGGACGAGGTTCCGTTCAGAGTACACGACCCCGGCTTCTATAGTTCAACAAGGCTACGCCTCTTGGGCTCAGCACCTTGTGACGTCGCTCGCCAAACTGAGCAGACGGTTAAGCTCTCAGAGGCTACGCCGGCGGTAGACAACCATCTCCTCCGTCTCTGGGAGGCTCGGCATAGCCTCGTCCGCCGATGGCACCGACAGAAGCATAATCGCCAGATCAAAATCCACATCAGAGCCCTCACCCAAGAAGCAGCCGAGTACGTGGCACAGCTCACTGACTCCAATATTGTAGAGCGCTGTAACAATGCTGCTAGCATATGTCAAATCGCAACACGTGGCGTCTTTTCAGGGTCCTCATCGACCCCATCCATACCCACACAAAAACGCAAAAGCATCTTCAACGCGTGCTCTATGCCTACGCGGGTTGACACGGATAAATTGGCACATGCACTTAGGGATAAATATCTCTGTGGCCGACAGGACCCCATCGGACCGGCGTGCTCATATGCAAGCTCAGAGAACGCAGACTTGGATCGCTGCTTTCAACTCCATGATCTGAAGGCGGCCCTGTCCAAAATGAAGCGAGGAACAGCACCCCGGCATGATCGAGTGATGGTTAAGCTTTTAGCCAACCTCCCAGACCTGGCAGACCTACACCTCCTCGACTACTTCAATTGAATTTGGGAGGGGTGTGAACCGCTCCCGAATAATTGGAAAATGGCCCTGGTAACTTTTATTCCCAAACTGGGCAAGTCAATAAATATCGAAAATCTCCGACCCATTTCCTTAAACTCGTGTGTGGGGAAGCTTATGGAAGTAATGGTCAGGGATAGGCTTTCCGATTACCTCGATGCTCGTCGAACCTTTGCCGACACTATATATAGCTTCCGTTCACATCGCTTTGCTCAAGACATTCTCATACAACTCCACCGCGACGTTATTGAGCCGGTAGAACATCCCAGTGACGACAAGGTAGTCCTCGCCTTGGATCTCAAGGGAGCTTTTGATAACGTTACCCACGAAATAATTCTTACCAATCTGTCCGAAACAGACAGTGGGCGCAATGCTTTCAGGTACATCCGTCAGTTCTTAATGGAACGGCAGGCGTACCTCCGCATTAAAGGCAAGGAACACGGTCGGTATCTTCTAGGTACCCGAGGAACACCACATGGAGCGGTCCTCTATGCCCCTCTGTTCAATCTCGCCATGGCACATCTCCTCCTACTGCTGAAAGATTTCCCTGGTGTACGGCACGCTCTGTATGCCGACGATATCACGCTGTGGGCAACACACGGTTTTCTTAGCAGCATTGAGGCTAGCCTGCAGCAAGCAGCATCGGTTGTGAATGACTACGCCCATCGCTGCGGCCTCGAATGCTTTCCCACGTAATCGGAGTACGTGCATCTTTACTCTAAACCAAAAGACATGACTCAAATCGTACTTTCTCAGCACACCTGGCCTATCCCGGAACGCGAAGAAATCCGCGTCTTAGGGCTCTTTCTACACAAGAGCCGGAAAGTGGATACCACCCTGCGCAAATTATGTACGCGTTCGGGGATCAGGTGGGCCGCAATGTCCGCCGAGTCTCGAACAAGCGAGGGGGTCTCAGATGCCACGATGCTCTACGCCTCGCCAACGCTTTTGTGACCAGTCGAATTCTTTATTTGACACCCTACCTACGTTTGCGCAAATGCGATGAGAACACGCTGGACAGAATTCTCCGAAAATTATACAAACGCGCCCTAGACCTCCGGATCACGACGTCTAACCAACGTCTTGCAGAGCTGGGCATGACCAACACGTAAGGAGAACTCAAAGAGGCCCATCTCAACAACCAGTGTCTGTGGATTCCCACGTAGAACACTTGGAGATGTCTCTTACGCCGCCTCAATATCTTTTACACCTAAAATGCAGAGGAGCTGACCACGATCCCAGAGCACTGGCGTGGAGCGTTGGTTATCAGGCCTCTACCCTAAAACATGGCTAGGGGGACTCCCGAATGCAGGCGAACTGCGCGGGTTACAGCTTTGCAAGGACGCTATGGGTCCCGTCTTGGAGTCTTGTATACGGACGCGTCCGGCCCTCACCATGGTGGGTGGTACACGGCGGCCGTAGTCCATCAAAACGTGCCTGTCCAAGGGCTCAGATTTCGAGCCACGGATATCACTCATGCAGAGGAATTCGCCATAGCTCTTGCTGCAGCGGACCCCGCATCTCGGTTTATTATTACCCATTCGCGGAACACGTGTCAGAATCTTGCTAAAGGTCGTATCACCGTTCGCGCTGCTCGAAACATTAAGCGCCGTGATTACATGGACTGCCCAAATACACGTTTCATCATCTGAACTCCACCTCACGCAGGACTAGGTGGTAACGAGGCGCGCTTGATTTCCGGGACCCGCCTCACCCTTCATCGCCTGATGATCCAGAACCTAGTCCGGTAACCTCCTTTCACGAAATTACAGCAATGTTCAGATCGAACAGGCTCCGATTTCCGCCCCCAGTGCCAGGCCTGACTAAGTCTGACGAGCGCTGGCTCTTGCGCCTTTACACCAACACAGTATTGTGCCCGGCTATACTTAAGCACTTACATCCGGCCTTCTCTGGGGTATGCCCGCACTGTGCCCATTCACTTGCGGATACTTTTCACATGGTGTGGGCATTCCCTTCTAATCCGGCCGTCCCCCCATCACTTCCCCTACACCCCCTACCCGAGAGAGCTGGGAGGCTGCCCTGCTCGGCTGCTCGGCCTTGGTGCGCCAAAGAGCCCTCGTGGCCAAGGCGCGTGCCGCCACAGAAGCCATTGGGGTCCCGGACTAGGGACTCCTCCTAGAGCTTGTAAAGGGTTGGCCCTTAAGGTCGTTCCTCTCTCTCAAATGTAAATAGTTCCAGTGAATGTTTTTCACCACCACCACCAGCAGAAGTCCTAGAGACCTCTGGGAGCTCATATTTTACCACCGAAATGTTCTTTGTCAAAATAGCCGAGCATCAGCAGCTATAGTTATAAGACAGGAACAAGCACTATTCTGGCCTGTTGCTCGGATCAACCAAGTACATAGCCGCTTGCTAAGGCACCCACGCTGTGGAAACTTGACACCATGGGACTGCTAAAGCTAAATTAAGGTCGTCCTCTTCTTTCTTCTTTAGTCAATGCCATGGTCTCATCTCCTTTCTGGTCCCGTCTTAATAGCCCTGTTTTTTCTTCATAACGAATCAACTGGCCCAATTGCATACCCTGCTCTTGCCTATTGTTGCGAATAAAATGAAACTACACTGCCTCAGCTACGATACAAAGCAGGTATTTATTTTCTCCCAAAATTGATGAATAATACAAAATTTATACTTTAGGTGGTCGTGTTATTAGTTGTATGGTCGTGTAACGGTTCCGGTGTGCTCCACTGCTGACCCAAAGACACGGTTTCGACCCCATCCGCGGCGGTAAAATTTTGACGGAGCCAAAATGCTAGAGGCCATGTACTTGGCGATATCTGTGCACGTTTGAAACCACTAAAAGGTTGAAATTTCGAGAGCCTACGCTGCCTCTAATAATCATATTGTTTCGTTTTGAGGCAGCATAATATGTCACATATTGGTTGATTCCTGTAACCGATATCAATTGCTACTTTCAGGGGCACCATTCCTATGTTCTTCATGGTAATGTGCATGTACCTACTTCCGCTGATTGCATCAGGACCAAACTCGAAGGAATTCTACGAAAGGTTCTACGCTGAAATACGACTCCACTGGTCGGACTTGGTTCTGCACATTCGCAACTGGAGACTGGCGGATTACAAAGTGGTAAAATAGTTTTTATCCAAGCTAAACAGCGTGCTGTGCTCGATGTGTTGAGTAGTGCAGAGAACCAAGAAACATTCCAATTCCTTTAGTGGGGGCTTTTCTAAACTTAACACAGAGGCTAATTACACCGTGACAACTTTTCGAACTTACCTAATATGGGTAGAGGTAAACTGTGAGTTTACGGATGTTCAGAGAAATCGTTTTCTTCATATTCTGTTCTGCGTGATGGCGGATCTAATAGGTTCGATGTAATGTTCGTGGGGTACAGAGCTTTTCTTTAAATTAACTCATATTTTCCGTAACTAGAAAATTAAAGGTGTTAAAGGGGTGGTTCCACCAAATTTGTGTCTTATGCACCCTCCGCTAAAAGCGTTTGTTATAGGTCCAAGTAGCATGATACATGCTTCGATATTCATGCATAATCACGAGGTAATTGAATATGACTTTATTTGTATGAACGATTTTCGTTTTCGGTTTCTGGGTGCCGAGATTGGCAGTGACGTAACACTGTGGAAGGCTTGGTCACGGGACCATACAACGTTGTGATGGACGTGCTGGGTATCGTCTGCTTTCGCGCACGTGTGCCACACAGCGACCAGCAAAACAAATGCGCGGACACGTGCATTGGCTAGCTGCAGTAGCCGCGAACGAAGTATAGGGCCCGTATTCACAAACACTCCTCCACTCGACCCTTCACTCGAAACGCTCCTTAAGTGGCGTTTTCCCATTCACAAACCGCCCTTCACTTGAAACGCTTCCTTCACTTGAAAAAATCTTGAGCGTTTCCTCGAGATTGTCAAGGAAGCGATCGAGCTACCTTGAATCGTCCCTCGAGTGAAATATTTGCGCCAGCATCGCGTCAATGGCGGAGCCCGTCTCACTTTGACGGCGTTTCTTGATCAAGTAGGCTGCCACCGCCGCGTTCTTTCGACAATGACGGTGCGCGTTTACTATGGAGCTGTCTTCGAACGGTTCAGCAACGGCTACTGTGGCACCAGGGCAAGCGGGCGTGGTGTCAGAAGGAGCACTCACCAGTGCCGTGATGTGTTGCGATCCGTGCATGAGCCAGTGTATTACCTGCCTTCGGTTGTGCGTATACTGTTCGTGCGAGTGCTCCATGACTTACTGCGGATTCCAGTGCTTTGAAGTGTTTTGATGAAGCTCGCATACCGCATCAGTTCAAGCGTGGTGCGCAAGCTTGACAAGCAAGCGGCATAGCAAACTTTTGATGCGCTGGGTTCACCGTACTTTAGAGTGACTTCCTCTCCGGTGAACGTTTGCTGCCCTAGCCGAAATTTATGACGAAGCACACCTCCGTTAGACGACCATCTGTACCAATAAGAAGGTAAGTTCTCCCGTGTATTTTTTTGTTTTTTTTCCTGCTTCGGTCAGATTGCTATTAAAGACAGTTTAAGAAAAGCACAACACAATACATTGGGCGCAATGAGTGTGCTGCTGCAGCTACTACGCGTGAAACATAGCTTCTTTATACAGTGTCTATGCAGCTCACAATACCAATGAACAACCAAGTACACATTTAGGGGATCAAGCAGATGATCATGCTCTGTGAAACCTGCATGTACGCAAACGTGCGTTGAGTGTCGTATGAAAACGCAAACATATGAAATATAAATACAGCAGATACATAGTGAGATTGTTTTTTTTAAAGTTAACCCCATTCCTACCCCCCGAAAAAGAATTGCTGGCTATGGCACTGATTCGTGCAATTAGATAATGAAATTATATACACATATGCCTGGTCGGCTGCCCAAGTGCCTGAGCCAAACTTGTGTCAAAATAGTCAAAGCTCAATACTTCAACCATGTCTGTTCTTGAACGCGAGACATACCTAATGTGTGCACAGCTAGAATTAAAGAAAAATGCGGCTTTTGTATTCAAGCTATTACGCTTTTCTAATAATATTTCTTGCTTCTTTTGTGCAGGGGACCAGCTGCCGACAGAAGAACACAGAGAAAAGGCCTCCTAAAATCTGCCGTATTATCAATGCATTGCAGAGTTTGCACGACTGTATAAAAAAGCACAAAAACAGCAGTGAATTCGTGCAGCTACATTGCATTAGGCGCGCTATGGTGTCTACTTTCTTAATCTTATTTATGATGTCCTCCGAGCTCGTACTTTATCTTTACGGTGTAGGTTGCATATGTTTGATTGATGAACACTTCTCATTTGCATTCTTATGTTTGCCACGTTGCTCCTCATGAGCCACATGTAATAAAGGTCCATTTGTCATTCACAACTTCTGTTTTGTTCATTTATTAATACATAAATATCGTCGTGTTTGTCTTTTCATGATGAGACAAGACTGCGAAAACAACTTCTCCAATTCTACAGGAAAGCAGTTCTAGGAAAATTAAACTTGTTTTATATAAAGCAGCACCACTCCTCTCCACGAAACTTAGATGGCATGGTTCTAACTGGTAGACTTGCTAATGATGCAGCAATAGCAGATATTTTATTTACAGAGTTCTGACCAGATGTATCCGCGATGACTGCAATACTCTTGAGCATTTTTCACCGCTTTGTTGCACTGGTCTTCAATAAATCAGCAGAATATTACACGCTGCTCTTGACGACACTTTCTCGAAGCTTGAGAGAACCCACAGGATAGTTTTTAAAACATAACAGCGTCAAAAGTCAGACGCGGCTTCAATTTTATGATTTACAAAAAAAAAAATAAAACATCCCCTATAATTTATGTTGTGCCGGGGCTTTGGAATGCAGCACAGACACCACGATCCTTTTCAACAGGTATTTCCAGTAGTTATATTGCAAATAAAATCCAAAACAGTGCGAAGGTCATTCATGCACTAACGATTGTGCTTCTGAGCATGCAGATGAAGGAGACGGGAAAAAAATTTAAGACGTTGCCGCTGTGTAAACTTGGAGACGGAAGCTACACAAATATAAAGGTTACTTCCATGCAAATCTGTCAAATTAAGCGCATCCACAAATGCAGGGCAAATAGAAAAACAATGCAAAAACAATAACTTATTTCTTGGAAGTTTAAAATGTTAAAGTTGACACACACACACACCAGTCCCTGTTAACCGACTATATATGTTACTAAATGAAGAAAACAACTCTAATATGTATTTTTCGCTAATAGTGAAAGAAAGGCACACAATCGCTTTTCTTAACTTGCGTAGCAGTCTAATTCGAACGCTCAGCCACGTGTATAACATGCCTAGTGTTTAACGCTACCCTGGTATAACCTTGAATATCACTTGCGAGCAATGTCTTTCAAATTTCCTATTATACGCAGAGGAACAACTACGAAAGCACCATGGTGAAAATCGCAGTAAATGAGAAAAATAAACATTGCACAGGCCCCTGAAATTAGGAACTGTGCACGTACTCCCGTAGCGAGAACGAATTTACGTAAGAGTAATCCTTATACGTAATGCGGTGGTCAATGCTAAAAGCACGCCAACATAATGTGATATATAGTAAAAAATACTCATTCCACCGCGTTATACATTCAGTGGCTACATTAGTGATCAGAAGGCTCTCAGTAAAGCGAAAGTAAACAAAGCAACAAACCATCTATTGCGCTTCCTGTCATCACTCACGTAGTTCGTTAGTCACCCCGGCGAAAGTAGGCTCTCAAACGACAAACACGCAAACACTACCGTGAATATAAACTGCAATTATTAGACGCATACAAGACAAAATAAACTAAGCAGGTAGACACGTTCAGCAGCAGACGAAATGCCATCAGCTGTTCGTTCAGCTGCCTGGGTTCGACTGTTGCCAGACTTGAAGAAGGGTTTCGCTAACTCTATCAGCACAAGGCTTAGGGAAACAACACTACCACTCTAAATGCACGTATTTTGCTGTAATGTCAATTTAGAAAAAAAGAATAACTAGAAAAGGCGTTCTCTTAATGTACATAGATAGGCAATTCTTAACCACAATTGCGAATACTCTCGTGATCAGGCGCTTTTCTCGGCGCATGCAGTTCACTCAAGTGAAGGGAGCATTTCCAAGGCCTCCCTTGGCGAAGGAGGTGTGGAGGAGCGTTCATGAAACGCAGCGGCCTCTTGAGTGGAGGAGCACGCTCCACCTTGACTTTCTCAAGTCGAGGGAAGCCCTTGAGTGAAGGAGCGTTTGTGAATACGGGCCTAGGAATCGATACTTTGTCGTTATGTACGTGGCGGGGGTAGCAGAGGTCCAGAGGTCACATACGTCACTAGCGATCTGGTGCGGCGTCAATGCAACTTTTGTTGCTTTTCCTGGAAAGCTACACCAGTGTTGTGTGCGCTATAGCGATGGGTCACTATTAGAAAAATGAGCATTTAGGTAGACTTTGTAAGTGCATTAAAATAAATTTTAAACATTTGCTCTCTCCGACTCTTGGTGTTAAGTATTTTTGCATATAGAGGAAACCCACAACCGGTTTGTGATGGCCTCTACATTTTATGGCACCACTCCCTTTGAGCATTTCTATTGTGAATTCATGCACTCTGAAGGTACATTGAACAGTCGGCGCTAAACTTTATAAATCACTAGTTCCACGCAAACGTAGCACTGCTCAGCAACTTGCGACTGTGTTCAGTCGAACAACGTAGCACATGTTAGCATGTCTGACAATGGACCAGTAATCTAATTACAAGGCTAACGATGGATCAGTAATAGAAATAACGTCGAACGCGCCAGGGAAGGATGACCGATTGATTGATATGCAGCGTTTCACGCCCTAAAAGCACCATATGATTATGAGAGACGCCATAGTGAAGGGCTCCAAAAATTTCGACCACGTAGGGTTCTTTAGCGTGCAACGAAATCTGAGCACACGGGCCTACAACACTTCCGCCTCCATCGGAAACGCAGCCGCCGCAGCCGGGATTCGAACCCACGATCTGCGGGTGAGCAGGCGAGTACCTTAGCCACTATACCACCACTACGGGGCGAGAGTGGTGCCTAGTCATTCATTCTTCGTCACACAAGTGTGAAGTCGTGCGTAACAGATGTACATTATT